CTAAGAGTATCTAATAATGAAAGAGAGATCAAAGTAGATTATCAAGTGAAGTTCTACCAAGACTTAACTTTAATACTGCAGGTAGTTGTTAACTTTTTTTAATTTTTTAAAGATATATAAAAATAATTTAAGCTATTATATTTTACAAAATTTTAAGCTTTATCAATATAAAATGTCTAAGGTAGGAAAATTCATCAGAAATTGTGACCTTTTTGCTCAACCTATTTATATAACGTACAAGAAGGACAGTAATTACAGGACGATTGTCGGAGGAATTAGTGCAATAATTTTTGGGATCTTTATTGTTTGGTATGCAATAGCCTAAATAGTTTATATGGCTTAAGGAAATTACAATCTGAGTGAGTATTACACTTATTCTGACATAGATAATGACCCTTTGATCTATAAAATTGACATTAAGTGATTCAACATTGCAATCTAGTTAGGTAGTTTTAGCATTTAGAATGACGATAATCTCTTGAGATATGTTAGGCCCTAGTTCTTTTATGAAACCACAGATTAATCTGAGATGACAAGCTCATCAACTTAGTTGAAAGGCACTGAAGACATCAAAGCTGTGAAATGTAATGAAACTTTATTCCCTTGGAAAAGTAAAGGTGAAAAAATCAATAACTATTATTGCCCAGATCTTGAACAAATTGAAATATATGGTTAAGAATCAGGCACAAAATCAAAAGAGCTTTTACTTGTAGTATCATCTTGTTAAAAAGTTGCAAAAGATCCCACAACTGAATGCGCAACTCCATAGGAAATTTAAAATCTTATTTCTAACATTTACATAGATGTGGCAATGCTTACATAGTACTTTGATCCCAATAAATTCCAAAAGACAAATCCTTTCATTACCTACTACTCTCAGACAAGAAGATATTTGGTCAAGGATGAGTATAGATTAGTCCAATATCGTGTAAAAAGAAGTTCTGTAACAGTCCTTGATGATCTAATCAGTTTCTTTTGGAATTCAGGTACAGACCCTAATAGTGTAGATTACTAATTCTATGAAGCTAAGCAAATTGATACACAGACTTTTGATCCTAATGTAACTCGGTTTGTTAAACTCGACATTTTAAATATTAAATTCACACAGGATTAGCAAATCACTCTTATCACCGTGTAAGCTCCAACAATCACAGGTATTATCTCTTCTGTTGGTGGCTTCTTTAGTTTAATCAACATGCTGATTGGTTATATGCTATACAAGTTTTAATGCTTTAGATATGAAGCATCACTAATGAAAAGATTGTTTTATGAAGATAAGCCTGTTATCAATGATGAAGCGAGTGATGATGAAGATAGTACTTTCAAAATCACAAAACATAGTCCAAATGCATCATAAATAAAAATGGATATCAAGGAGACATTAGTTAACAGCTTTGAGAGTGAGGATGGAGAAGAGTGAAAAGGTGAAGGTGATCTTAAAGAGAAATCAGGATTAGGCATCAAGAATCTATTCAGATCTGCGAAGATTAATTTCAAAGCTTTTTCTCAATCCATGCTCATGAGCAAGTAAAGAATAATGAGCTATATAGAATCTGGGATTGGTATCAGTTTTACTTCATAAAGATAATGTGTTGCTGCAAATTAAGGAAAGAGAGGTTAATCGAATAAAGGGATAGATACGAGAGAGCTAAAGAGAAGCTATACTATGATTTAGATATCCTTGAAAATATAAAGATTATTAGGAGCTCAAGATTCTTGATATAAACTTAACTTAGAAAGTATCAGAGACAACTTATTAGAAATTTCAAAATCTATAATGTGGATCATAAGAGTATAGGCAAAAAGCCTCCACATAATCTAAAGAAAGCTCTTGGTAAACTTGATTTGAAAAATAACAACATTGATAAAAAGATAGCCTATAAAATTACTGAGGATGAGGATCAAGTTCATCATTTGTAGCTTACTAATCCCAGATATAGGCACTCTACTTATGCTTAGCTTTTGTGAAAATGATTTTTATTGCTGTTTAATAATTATTTTATTTATTATTAATGATATTCCATTGAAGTTTGCCTTTACGGGGTTTTGGGGTTTTGGGGTTTTGGGGTTTTGGGG